TGTTGTTGCTACTGTACGACGCTTTTGGAATTCTTGTCGTTGGCGTGAAAAAGATGAACAGTGATGGGGTCAGCTGGTGCTGCTGTTGTACGTTGTTGTTAACGTTGGAGAGGATTGATTTCTTTATTGAATAGAAGGTGTGGGCTGGATCGGGTCAGGGGAATTGGACTGGTTGGGTCGGTAGTGGGTTGTTGTATTGTTGTATTGTATAGGCTGGAAATTGGAGCTGTTGAAGTCAAGGTGAGCTGGAAAATTGGATGGGCTGCTATGTGAAAATATTGGTATTGTTGGCATATTGCTGCTGATGTATTGAAGTGGGCTGCTCGAAAATGGCCCAACCTCTTGGTCTTGCAATTAATTCAAACATAGCTGAATTGAATTAATATTTAAATCGAAATGAATTTAGTTGGTAATTCGGCTAAAACTAAATAAGGCGAATCAATAAAAAATTAATTAGTGAGTTCTTTAATCTTAACGAAATAAAATAATTAACTTAATTATAAACTAAATAATTTAAAATATAAACTATTATATAACCAAAATTAATTAACCAAATATTTAATCAAAACAAAAAAACTTTTTGAGACTATTTTTGAATATTTATAAAATGCACTAATTAATATATACACAGTTATGTAAAACCTATATATTATTCAAAACATTATAAAAATGACAAAATTACTTTAAACTAGCTTTGCAAAATATTTTGTATTTTATAAAGTTAATTATTTCAACTCGTTTGGAATTTAAGAAGCTCGAAAGTTAATTCTTATCGGGAAGGATCAAAATTGGGTGTCAACAATAAGGTTGATGGAGAAGTGGACAGGTTCAAGGCTACGTTGGTAGCCACAGGGTATAACCAAAAGGAAGGCTTGGACTATTAAAAAACCTTTTCCCCAGCTGTAAAAATGGTAACTGTGAGGGTTGTCATAGCCTTGGCTGCTTCACATCAGTGGCAAATCTATAAGATGGATGTTTTTAATGTTTCTTCAAGGTGACTTGAATGAAGAAGTTTATATGGAATTGCCTTTGGGTTTTGTCCATCAAAGTGAGAAGGGGTCAGTATGCAAGCTCACCAAACCACTTTTTGGACTTAAACAAGCCAACAAACAATGGAACATCAAGTTAACTACAACCTTAGTCAATGCAGGATTCAAACAAAGTCATTATGATTACTCCTTATTCACAAAGCATCAAGGAACAAGTCTGGTGGTGGTACTAGTCTATGTTGATGATTTGTTGATTACAGGAAATGATGACAAGATGCTTATGGAGACAAAAGGAATACTCAAAGATAATTTCAAGATAAAAGATCTAGGTGAGTTGAGGTATTTTTTGGGCATTGAATTTGCAAGGAACTATACTGGAATCCTTATGCATAAGAGGAAATACTGCCTTGAACTAATTTCAGACATGGGATTGTCAAGTTCAAAACCTGTTGGAGCTCTTATTGAGTTGAACAAGAAGCTCATAACTGCAGAGTTTGATCTGCACTTTCCACCCACTGATGATCATGACAAATTGTTGAAGGACCCTAGTGTATATCAAAAGTTGATAGGGAGATTGCTTTATCTGACTATAACAAGGCCATACATTGCATATGTAGTGCAACTTCTGAGCCAATTTATGCACAGTTCCAAGACATCTCACATGGAGGCAGTAATGAGAGTGGTTAGGTATGTAAAACAGTCATCAGGTCTGGGGATATTCATAGCAACTAATGTTGGAAATCAATTTATGGCTTATAATTGTGATGTATATTGGGCATTATGTCCAAACAATAGGAAGTCCATAACAGGTTACATATGAGAGTTCATTAATCACCTGGAAATCTAAGAAGCAAGACATTATCTCAAGGAGTTAAGCTTCAACTGAATACAAGAGCCTAGCCTCAACAGTTGCAGAAATAGTATGGCTAGTGGGGATTTTCAAGGAGCTGGGAATACAAGTTGATTTACCTGTTCCTATACATAGTGACAATAAATCAGCAATACAGATTGGTGCAAATCCAGTATTACATGAACGGACTAAGCATATTGACATTGATTGTCACTTCATTAGGGAGAAGGTTCAACAAGGATTGGTTCAATCAACATACCTGAATGCAGCAGAGCAACCTGCATACCAACTTACAAAGGGACTTACTTGTGCACAACATACATATCTACTTACCAAGCTAGGAATGAAGAATATTTCTCATACACTTAGCTTGAGGGAGGATGTTGAGCAGTTAATAAAGTGTACAACTGCCAATTAATGATTGACTGATAATTAAGTTAGTTAGAAGGTTGTTAGACAGTTAGTGAGCTAATTATCTTGTATATATAGGAGTTAGTTCATTGAGACGAATAACATTGTATAGTAGAACATTCATTCAGTTGTAATTAGAGTTTCATGTTAATTGAAATCTTCCTTCATTTGTTATCTGAGTTTTGCTTGTTCAATTACTCTACTTCACAAAAGAAGTTCAAAAGACAGTAATATTATACACAAATTTAGGCATTACTAGAAAATATTTCTATTGCGCATATTTGGACACACTATTTAATTATTCCAAGCCAATATACATAATAAATAAAGGATTTATAATTGCGATTTGCAACTATATCATATTTAGTGGCAATAGTAAAATAAAAGTATATTAAAACCAGCACTTTATATAATGTTGGCCGCTAAAGGTTTTAGCAACTTTAAATGTAATGTCATTGATTTCAATTACTGTTAAATATTGCTGCTAAAAGAAAAATTTATTGCTACTAAATGTTTTTGTGTTGTCATACAAGGTAAAATGAGAAGTTTAAAATTGAATTATTCTTAAATATAAAAAGATATAGTACTTTTTGGACGGAATGAATGGAGGGAGTTGATACTCCCTCCGTTTAAAAAGAATGACCCAATTTCCTTTTTAATTTCCGTATGAACTGATCATGATAGAGATAATTCTGAAGCAAAAAAGTTGATTAAACTGAAGTTGATAAGGTGCAAAGCATGGAAATGTATACATTAATATGCTGAATAATTGTCAAGAAGACTAATCCCATGATAAATGGATTAGGCTGGTCTTCACACTTTTTTGTGATGCCTAATCCGTAAATTTAAAAGAATATTAGAATCAGCCACTTATGCTTAACATCTCATTAACATTTTAAATTTGTAATCAATTTTATTATACATACAGATATAAATATATGACGTGATAAGCCTACTAAAGCAAAATTCATCAGCCACTCCAGCATGTTTAGACTCAATCAGCTGATGAAAACAATAGTCACACAGGAAAACAAAAATATACATGCAATGAAATTTATTTTTTTTATTAATAGGATGCACCTCCCCATGCGCCTTACAAGGCACAACAGACCTGCGTCTTGTAAGCTCGCGCCTTGTAAGGCACATGGGGAGGTGCACCTTGCGCATTCTTACACGCCGTTTATCCTATTGTTTAAATGTTGCTTTTTTGATTCTCAATTTATTTTTATTGCCTTTTTGGAAATTTTGACCAATTCTTTTGTCTTGTAGGCTCCGGACTCCAAAAAGGAAAGTGAGTTGACAAATAATAAGTTTTATCTTCGAACACTCCGTCAAAAACCTATCCACGGTCGGTATCATTGCAACGGTTATGAGGCTCCAGTTAAGAAGGATATTCACGATAGATTATCGCTTGTTAACGTTTCTGCATTTGTTATCTTCGTCAAAAGTTGAAACCTAAAACTAATTTCGTCAAAATATTGTCATAATCAACTATGTTTTGGATCGAATCTGTTAGGATTTTTCCCTGATTTTCTTATTATAATTTACTCTTTTTCTTAACAAAAATCAAAACATTATCATAATTGCTTTTATTTTTCTAAAAATAATAATATAATTATGTTCCATATTTGATTATTCTTTCCGTAAAATAAAAAGTTTGGAGATCTATAAATCCTTATTCTCATAGCATAATACACTAGAATCCAAGACTTTTGTTTATGAGAAATTTTACAATTTTTATGTTTTAATTAGTTTTTTTATAAAAATATTTAGGTCAATTGGTCATATCAAATATATAATAATAAATGTTTTTTTAATATAATTTTATGTATACTCATATGAAGTTTGTAAATCCTCACTATCCCGGCCGGGAGAGGCTCGATACCAGCTAATTTCAGGTGACGCCTTCCTGGAACCGTCTATGCCCCGCCAGGAGCTTGGCCGGGATATACCTTGTAAATAATAGATTCCGTCGTCACTTCAACTAGCTAGCTGGATGCAGAATGCTGCACGGGTTTCAATGTAATCAAAACGCGATCAACTTTATGAAGCACCCTTTTTTGACATTTTTGTTTTTGCAGCTGCAGGATTTCAAATTCATCCGGATTACCTCCTACGAGACTCATAATTGTGTAACTACTTTTCAACACAAGATGACCCACCACTTTTGACAAATTACACATTTTTGAAATAAAAGATGACCACTACTTTGACTTAATTTCACTAGACCATATGACACGTACAGGAGAGATATTATTCATGTAATAGTTTTTTTTTAAAAATATTTTAGTTTTTAACTCAATGTTTGATACCTGCATTTAAATGCTCTTCTTTCTTTAGAGTGAGTTGATTTTGAATGAAGGCAGATTTTATCGGGGACGGATACGGGGTCTGGATCGATTATATTTGAGTTCGCACGTTATAGAATTTCATTTTGGGAAAAGACGTTTCTTATCAAAGATTTTTTAATACTCATGACTCGAATTCGAGACATCTGGTTAAGAAAAAAACAACTTTATCCACTGCACCATATCATTTGATGCATGGCAATCATGAAATTTTATTACTTTCCCCATTTTAATTTTTTTTTTTAACTAAAATATTTGCATTTGTATTTTATTTTTAATCATTTTAAGATATTAGTTATTGTAATTTAAAAATCTTTATGTTTGAATTTATGTCACATAGGGGGATAGAAGTAGAAGATTTCCTCATACATAATTAAACTACACTCCTTTCCACTCCAACCTCTAGCATGTCTCTGTTTTGTAGTCTTGTGTTGCCCCTATTCATTCTCCTCCCTCTTATTAGCTACAATGTTTATGGTGTCGGAATAAACTATGGAACTATCGGAAACAACCTCCCTTCACCGAAAAAAGTAGCTCAGCTACTTCAATCCACAATATTCGACAAAGTTAAGATCTACGATACCAATCCTGAAATCCTTGAAGCTTTTTCCAACACTGGCATTGATCTCATTGTTGCTGTTGAAAATTCCCACATCAGAAACTTAAGCGCAACTCAATCCAATGCGGATAAGTGGTTCGTTACTCGTATATTACCTTTCATTCCTTCCACTTCCATCGTCACCATTGCCGTTGGAAATGAGTATTTAACCGACGATCAATTATTAGATCATAACGCATTACTCCAAGCAATGGAAAATCTGCATTCAGTTTTACTATCACGCGGATTAGACCGCAAAATTAAAGTGTCTACACCACATAGCATGGCTGTTCTTGCTTCTTCATTTCCACCATCTTCGTCTACATTTGCTACCACTCTCCTTCCTGTTATGACTTCTATTGTCGCGCTTTTAGCTGATACAAATTCCCCTTTCATGATTAATGCTTATCCATATTTTGCTTACCGGGACAATCCCAGTATGGTTAATTTAGAATACGCGTTACTGGGTAACGCGTCTGGGGTACGTGACCCTAAAGGTTACGTATATAGTAACATGCTAGATGCACAAATTGATGCGATTAGATCAGCAATCAATGCATTGGGATTTGGGAATCGGACTATTCAAATAGTGGTATCAGAGTCAGGATGGCCATCGAAAGGAGATGCAGCTGCGACTATTGAAAATGCTAGAACTTATAATACTAGATTAATTGAACGTGCTCAGTCGAATAAAGGTACTCCGATGAGCCCTAAAGATCGAATCGATGTTTTTGTGTTTGCGTTATTCAACGAAAACAAGAAACAAGGAGGAATTAGTGAGAGGAATTTTGGGATTTTCAACGGTGATGGAACGAAGGTTTATGATGTGGATTTGAGTTGTGAATTTTGTAGTAATGAGAAATTTGGAGGGAAAATAGAGTCGTCTTTGTTAAGAAGTCGTGGACCTTCAGTCTGGTGTGTGGCTAAGCCGCATGCGGATGAGAAGGTAATACAGGCTGTGCTTGATTTCTGTTGTGGGCCTGGGGGCGTGGACTGTAGAGAGATAGATGAAAATGGGGACTGTTTTCAACCTGATAAAGTTTACGGCCATGCATCCTACGCGATGAACGCGTATTATCAGCTGCATGGGCGGAATTATTGGAACTGTGATTTCAAAGGAACTGGTCTTGTTACATTCAGTGATCCAAGTAAGTATATATATATATTTGGTATTGCTTGTTTCTTAATGTACATATATATACACATTTAGTTTATTGTTGGAATTTAATTAGAATAATTAAGGTTGGAGTAGAAAACTCAAAATGATTAGGATTTAGTATTTGTAAGTTTATAATAGTTTTGTTTTTGGTTAGAATTTGTAGTCAAAATCCAGGAAGACATTTGTCAATTTATAAGCAAAGTGGCAAAGGTTTCTTGGTACTATAAGACATGTCATTTAATTTGGCCATATTTTATGTTTATGCCCTTCAATTTTGGTTGTATACAAGTAGACACATAAACTTGTATAAAGTTGAAAAAGAAGACACATGGTCTTATGTGGCATAATACAAGTAGGACACAAATTATCATGTAGGATGCCACGTAGGACATGTGTCTATTTTGTTCAACTTTATACAAGTTTAAGTGTCTACTTGTACATATACCCAAAGTTGAAGAGCATAAATGTAAAATGTGATCAAGTTAAAGGGTATATTTATGTATTATGCCTAAATAATACTTGACTTTGTTTGGCATGAACCCCATTACTATACCTCCAATTTTGGGTTTACACAGGTACATATTGAAACTTGTAGAAAAAATTGAACAAATGTACACATACGTCCTACATAGGAATAATACACATAGAATAGAAATTGTCACGTAAGACACATGTGTCTACTTGTGCACACTCAAAATTAGAGTGTATAAATATCAAATGAGACCAACTTAAATAATACGTTTATGTATTATGTCTAAATAAAAGTATTTGCTAACTATTTTTATATTGTGAAAATTGTAGAGAGCATTCTAAATTCATTAGTTTATGAATAAAACATTTTCCATCATTTTATTTTGATCAATAGTTTATCAGAATTATATTTTTCTTTGCTTTGACCTATATATCTTGCTTTTGTTTTTAATCAGGTTATGGAAAATGCTTCTATTCGCATCAGTGACATGGAATCAGAAAAGGGAAGGGGTGTGTGATGAACGCCTTAATTTGTTATTCTTAAACTATAGTATAACAATTTTATGTAATCCCCCCTGCCATCATGAATTAAAATTTCTCTCTTTTGACTAGAAATTAAACCCCACCATAATATAATTTATAATTTTACTGCAGTAGTGGGGATATTTTTTCCCACCAACAAACTACTAAAGTCATTTAATTTGCATCAATGTCTTACACACCAACTCAAAAAGTTGGGGTCCTTTGAAATTATTTAAATTTGATTATAATGTGCAATAGCAATAAATATGAGAAAATCTCTATTGACAACAAAAGTTAGAATAAGCTCTCCCTAAAATTAGCATAAATTTGTATTATCTATTATAGTGAATATGTTCCGTTAAAAAAATAATGTTATAACACATAATTAATAATAATAAAATAATAATATATGCAAGGAAAATACATTAATCACATAGGTTTTCTTTCACTTTCCCCGTAGTCTTGCAAATGATATCACATTCATTTTTTATTTAATGAGTAGATAGATATGTTTAATATGGCTGGTGTTATTAGTAGTGATAGATAGATATAGTAGATAAATATTATGGGTATTTTTATAAAATATAAAAATTTGAGGTAATTTTTAAATTTTTTAAAATTCCCAAAAACTAGTTTTTTCTAGTATTTGGAAACTTGGGATTCTAGGCAAATATTTTTGCCAATTTATGTAACCAAACATCACTTCTCAAGTTTTTCCCAAGTATTCTTGGGTCCAAACGGGTTTAAATGATTTAAATTTGATTTTAATGTGTAATAGCAATAAATATGAGAAAATCTCTATTGACAACAAAAGTAGAATAAGCTCTCCCTAAATTAGCATTTTGTAAAATTTGTGCAAAAATACGATCCATATATGAGTAGAGCAAAAAAATAAATAGTGCAAAAATTACCCGTGATAAACATATATACTTAATTCATGCATAGTAACTGTTAACGTTGGAAAATTTGATTCTGATTCAAAATTATTACTCCACTCATCCGTGAATTTGATAAAAAGAGTTAATTGAATTATTTATTATAATCGTATTACAGAATATAATTAGGAGTAATAAAAAAAAGAGAAGGATAGGAAATCCAAAAACATTTTTGTAACTCGTAAGTTTTAAGTACCGATATATGTATGTAACCCGCTTCAGTTATATAATACTAGCAATGGAATTTTCAGAGAAATTAATATTGTTAGGCCAGAAAAAAATAATATTGTTCGGTAGTTATCTATCTTGACCAATTACATGATAATCTAAGAGTATTATTGAAAAGAAGTTTTTTTATAGAGTTTTAATCCAAACACAAGAGGAGGTGACAAAGAGCTGGTAATAAAAATGGAAAAGAGTGAATTTTTGAAATATATATGTGAATGAGATAATTTTCAGATAAAATTGTTGGATTGACAACTTTTTGTAGTGTAAATAAAGGAATAGTTATTTGTTATTTTAATCATAGGACCTTGCTTTAGATAATTAAATCTCAACCTTAAATTTTCATTGTGGCTATTCCATCCAAGTAGGAATTTGGGAAAATAAAGAGAATGAGTGGAGTGGAGCCGAATGAATATTGTGTCTGCCTTCTTATGCTATTTATTTCTTTATTTATTTTGTCCGTACAATGTTAAAAACTCTTATAACGTCTAGACTAGATCCTCGAAAGAATGTTAAAATGATTTCACTAAGATGAATGGTTTTGCCTTACATATGATTAATTTCCCTTTAATCATCTTTCTCTTGTTTTCGAATATGATCTATGTATGGTGAATTGATTCTACCAAAACATTTTAATAACTAGCGATCTTTCATATTTTTCATTTTGGAATCATTTTAATTAGAAACTAAAGCAAGTGGACAATTTTTTTCACAAGTAATTGATAATAAAATTATTTGTTTGATAATTATAGCAATAACAAGTGCACTAACAATTCATGATTGAAGTACCTAAGGGTATAGTTTAGCGCTCAATTACATGAGCCAAGAAACATGAGGTCTCAAGTTTAAATTTCAGTAGAACAAAATAAATTAGGTGATCCATCCTCCTCAGTGGATCCGGCTCCCCTTCATTACCCCTTCTCTCCATTTCGTCAAGTGTACGTCTAGATTAGAGACATGTGTCATATTTAAAGTTTAAAGGTCAAGATTATATTATATTAGCAAATATCATAACCATAGTTAAGTCAACTAATTTTAGAAAACTACTCTCCAAATTTGGTAAGGATTACAATATATTCTATACAAAATTTGATATTTATTAATATCATTAATTTGGTTTTTTGACACTTATAGTGTTGATGATCTAAATAATATTTCGCAAGAATTTTATGAAACTTGTGCCTTACATAATCATATTATGTTCTTTGTACCTTGGTTTATAACCACCTATTTACCTTTATTTCATCAAAGTCCTTGAACGATCTTATAAGGATGAATCAAGTAATATTGTCAAAGCTATTTATCCCCCTCAGGCATCGTTTATTTTACCAAATAATACGGGTATTACTTTTACTGCCTTTCAAAAATTTGTTGAAGAAGATATTGCGGCAGTCAGCATCAATGAGATTAACAATTTGATTTCTCAAAATAATTATTTAGGACTTTATGTTAAAGTCTTGGGTGAACATATTAGTTCTCTTGATAAAAAATTAGATGAACTAACTGCTTTGATAATTCAGATAAAAATGGATTTAAAACCTTCTGAGAAAGCTTCTACTTCAAAACAGCCCTCAGAACTTTCTACAAATGTGCAACGGCCCTCTGAGATTCAGAATTTCATTTTTAAACCTCTTTTTGATTTAGAAGAACTTCTTAATAAAAAGTTTTCTGAATTTGGGGCAAAACCTATTGATTTAGCAGAAAATTTTGCTGACTAAATAGAAAAATCTTTTGATTTTAAAAATCAAGTTGATTTAGAAATTAATAAACTTCGCGGTTATCCCAAGAAGAATAGTGGTAATACGGGATTTGCTTATAAGCCCAGCATGCAGACTTATTATTATTCCAGACCAACCCCTCAAGATGTGTTGATAGAGGAGTGTGACTGGAACCAGACTAATACCTCTTATAGTGGTACTGAAATTTATGAATGGAATCTCGATGGCCTGACTGATAGACAATTAACCATTCTTGTTCATAGACAGCTTATGTATGCAACTATCTGTAAAAGTGTTAGAAATACAGATAGGAATATTTGAAAAATGATAATTGCAGGTTTTATTGGCCAACTCAGAGGCTGGTGGGATAACTACATTAGCGTTGAAGCTAAAGCTGTGGTTATAAACGCGACCTCCGATACTGAAGGTGTTGATAATCTAGGAATGGCTCTAGTAAATTGCAGAGATTCTTGGGAAGTTTAAATTATATTTCCCCTTTTTACAAAAAATTATCTTGTGATTTATCCCCTTTATACGACAGGCTTAAAAAGGATCACAAAACACCTTGGACTAATAGTCACACTGAGTTGGTAAAGAATATTAAACGTCGTGTTCAATCTTTGCCTTGTTTAACTCTTGCTAACTCTGCTTGGCAGAAGATAGTCGAGACAGATGCGTCCAATATTGGATATGGAGGAATTTTGAAACAAATTAATCCTCGTGATAAAACTGAATATTTAATTCGATTTCATACCGAAATATGGAGCGATGCTCAAAAGAAGTATGCTACGGTGGCACATGAAATGTTAACCATTGTTAAATGCGTATTGAAATTTCAAGATGACCTATACAACCAAAAGTTTTTAATAAAAATGGATGCAAAATATGTGAAATATATGTTCGATAAAGATTTCAAACATGATGCTTCAAAGTTGATATTCTCCAGGTGGCAAGCACAGTTAGCCCCTTTTGATTTTGAAATCAATTATAAAAAAAGGAGTGATAACTCTCTTCCAGATTTCTTATCTAGAGAACATCTTTCACAATGAGTTTTCTAAATCCGTTCTTTACCGATAAAACATTAGTTACCATATTAAAGGTGGTTCCTCTCAACCGCGATGTACATGAGATTATCCTGTGGAAAATCATTGATAGCATGATGGTGGATATCTTCACTGTTCATAACTTTTAAGAAATCATCGATTTTAACGATGAAAATTACAACTATCAGAATTATTATAATTTTTATGATCTATACAATGATTAAAACAAAATGTTTTGTTTGTAGGATGGACCCTCCTTGGATTACTAAGGGAAGAAGCAAGCGACATATCCTTAGAGGAAGGGGAAGATCATTCCCCGGATCATCATCAGGATCTTCATACGGGTCCTCATCGAACTCCCCAATTTTACAACGAGGAGGCATGAGTTTGATAAACTCTAAAGTATCTCAAAAGGCGTCATCATCGTCCGTACATCTGGAAGATATCCCAAAAGGTAGTCCATTATATGCAGAACTACAGGCATATTTGTCACATAAGCAAAGTGATACTTTTGCCTCTATTGCTAAAGACGATATTGATGATATTAGATCGTATGAAAGAGTAGCAAAGAAAGAAATGATATTTCTTCTCAAAAACTCTGAGATTCAGAGGAAAGAAGATCCCTGGAAGATATTCCAGCGATATTTACTTAACGGATTATACTTCTCGGGTGAGTCATACAAAACCAACACGTATTACGAGACCATCTTGATGAACACGGGTAGTGTTGAATTTAAGCACTTCTCAGGTTACAACACCAGTGAGAACGTTTATAACTTCTCCAAAATGATTATAAAACAAATTATATCAATAGAAGATTGGAGTATATCCTCGATGAAAGAAAGGCAGATCAGCCTGAACAAAGTCCCTACTAGCTTCACTTATTGGGATTATATTAACGCGTTCAGTAAAGTCCTCTACTATAATAATGAGAGGCATAAACGTACTTGGTTCATTAAGGTTTGTGCAAAGATATTTGCTGACCCGATCCCTAATTGGTTCTTGAACTGGTGGTCATACCACGGTCCAACGGCAAAGATTTTGCCTGATCCCTTTTTAAAATTATACAAGAACTGGGTTAAGATTTCACCAGATCTTAATGATTTATACCACTCAGATCATATGTTTTATATGGAACAAATTGAACAAATTTATTTCTTCATAGAATTCTC